TGCAGCCGCTACTTCCATTTTACTGGCTATCGTTGTCCACCAGTTCTCACGGTCCTTCTTGAGGCTTTTCGTGAGCTGACCTTGTAGATACCACCTGACTTTATTTTGATCCTGGCAAGTCGGGATTTTTCGTTTATTCTCCATCAAAACTATTGGCTCCTGAGATATCCAATGCCTCCGTCGGGCTTGAGGCTCAGACCCACAAGCAACATTCGCTGCGGAATCCATTGCTCACCTAATCTGATCCCACTGCTCATCTACATCACCACGTTGAAGCGCGCTTGGCTCACACACTAGCTCTCGTTCATAGCGTACAGGAACTGCAGGAATAGATAGTCGATGAGCTTGCTGAATTAGTCACCGGCCAGTCAGTCGGAGAGTGGAATGCATCAAAACTAATGCATGGTCAGACTCAACGCAGGTGGCTCAATAGGACCTGCAATTTTGCACTGAGTCACGCCAGCGGTAACTTACTGCTATGTGGTCGATTTGAGTTAGCGTATCAGTTGAACTGGAGCACCACGTTGCCGTCCGTCGAGAGCTGTGTCGGAAGTTGGTGCTGGATAGGAACAGATGATGGTGTGCGCAGAACTGAAGAAGTCGATCGCCGTTATCTTTTCGTTGGCTGGGCAGAGCACAATTACCGCTTAGGCAAGCTTCTGATGCGCTCAGTTTTCCAATCTGCACATTGAAGTCAACTGCAAGTGCAACTATGTCGGAGCCTCGACTCATCCGAATGAGATCGGTGATTTCATCGTAGAAAGCGTCCTTTTGTTTATCAGAACTGCAATTGGTCGGTGCATATACCGATATGATGATCAAACACGTTTTGCTGTTGCTTATCTTCCGGACGCTGATTGAACCCTGGAGACGCACTGCACATAAACGACTGTTGACGGAGATCCAATCGATTAGAGTGGACTCCGCCCTATTACTGAGTACAATACCTACCCCGCGCTGACCTACTGAACGAGCTTCATCGTCGCCTGATGTACGAAGAACATATCTGGCGCAATCAAGTGGCTTATGGTTATAGGATCTTGGATACGAGTCTCCGATACGCAGCAAATATCGATCCCCAAGGATTCCGTTGTACGCGCCAGACAAACTTTGACCTACCCGCATCAGGATCCTCACATTGAAGGTCCTTAGATTCAGTGATTGATGCGGCTTCATTATTCAATAGAGTTGCTATAATGGATTATGTCGGATAAAAAAATGCCTCATAAACATCCGAGGTGGAAAGGGTTTATGGAAATAATTTGGGATAATTCTTGCTTTATTCCTATTAGAATATATTGCGTTTTCATACTTGATAAAGTTTGCATTATTCATGTTCAGATCATTTAATCTTGGCAACCAAGGTCACGCATGTTTAATTGACATTTATGCAGCCTAAAAATTACTTCGATCCCAGTAGACAAGATATAAATTATTGTCCACACATAAAGCATTATTGCAAGTAATGATGAAACTCCATTTGATCATAAGGAAAATATTTCAGTGCATCGCAATCGACCAGTACTGTATGTGTGCACTGCTTTCCGAGATACATTACTTACAGTGCTATTTGGCGATCGACATCCAAGTTGCTTGAGGGACTATTACAGGTCGGAAGAAGGGGAAAATGGAAAGAGATGGGTACTGAAAACAAAGAATTAAACCAAGGTTGGGATATCTGAGCAATAGCCGCTTATCACTACTCACCCCGTTCGATGCAATAGCAGCGCGGTCCTGATTATCCTGCGCGACGACCGATGCAGTATGGAATTGTTTTTTGTTTGTGTATGCATTTGAGTTTGATGGACGGGTACTGCCAGGATGTCCAGCCACTAAGCAGGAGAACGATTAGGGTTCTCGTCCAAAGCCTTTATTTCTGACAAGAACCTAACCGCAAGGCAGTGGGTGAAGCGAAATGAAGGCCCATTTACTTGGATCGATTATTCTTGCACCATTTTTTAGTGACTGAAACGCAAATTGCAGTCGAACTCTGAACCTGGAGGACCAGGAGACTGAACTTTGACTGACCTCTACCCATTAACCTTCCAGGCATGATAAGATCTCCCGGCTTGACAAAGCCATCCTGTATAGCTCGTTGGGTCACAGTGGGGCACAAGTTATCACACCACGTCAAGGTGCAGTCTCGTCGTGATGGTCTAGGAGCAAGAGAGCGATCTATGGTTCATTGTTTAGTTTTTAATACAAAACTCGAAATGTTTATTTAGAGTCACAACTAAAACTGTTGGCCATTGAAATGCAAAATAGCTGTATCTGATGACTGAATATAAGCGATTATTTGTCCATCTGCGGTTCAAATCGTTGAGAAGCAGCGCATATGCCCAGTCAGATGGATGACTGAGTTCTGCTCGAAACCTTTCGTACATCTGGCCTTGGGAGTTCGAAATCGTGACTTTCCGCCGCTCCGCCTGCGACCTCATGATCATAGTTTATCAACCTATTTACAGCTCTGG